AGAAATGGAGAAGACATATCAAGAAAGAATGGAAAAAAAGTCATTTTAACATGGTTTTAAAACAACTTGGGCAAAGGGTTCTTTATATACACTACATGGCCAAAAGTTTGTGGACACCTGCTCGTCCAATGTTTCTTACAACATTAAGGGTATTAAAAAGGAGACTGGCCCCCTCTGCTGCAGAAACCGTCTCTCCTTTTCAGAGAAGGCTTTACGCAAAATTTTGGAACATTGCTTTGAGGATTTGATTGCATTCAGCAGCAGAAGCACTAGTGAGGTCAGGTATTGATCACTCCATTCCTAAATGTATTAGCTGGTGCACCCCTACAGAATGCAGCTCCACTGCTCCACAGCTCAATGCTGGGGGGCTTAATACCCCTCTAGCCACGCTTGGCTTTTCTATGGAGACTAAACCTCCTATCTCCAAAATGGTAATTTTACAGGAGAAGGAAAAAACTTTACTTTTAATGTAAGTCAATGGAACCATTTTTTTCCCCCCAAGTAATTTTGGGCCGTTTCTTTTGGTCCATTCATCATTACATTTGGACACAATGTAAAGGACAACGGTCATTTTCAAATTACGTCAAAAACTGAAAAACAGAAAAAATGGAGAGGTTTTGTCCCGACAGCAGCATGTATGAAGCACAGCATAGACAAACCTCTGAGCCGCATGTGAGAAGAACACTCAGCTCACAATTCAGAAGCAGGCAGCATTTTCCTCTCCACTGCTTCCCCCTGTGGTGAATATTAAAATAGCACCATCCCAGCTGTGAGGATAGAAATTCTAAACAGTGAAATTCCTAACACAGGAAAAGAGCAATTTAGATAATTTCTATGAAATTTAAGGAATCAAGGAACCAACTCTTCTCAAGGTGCGTGTAAAGCCCACAGAGACTAAAATGAATGTTAAAGATACCACATTTAGTGCCGTGTATGTTTTATTTCAGATTCACCTCCTTTTTCAAGAACAGAGCTAGTTCCTAGTCTAAGTCTTAACCTTTAAATGAATAAATAAATCAGAAGTCAGAAAGCAAAGGTGTTAAACAAAACTCCAGCCAGTCTCGAGGTGAAACGCTGTTTCCATAAGTTGTCTAAAACCTATGATGGCTAAAACAGGTATCCAAAAAAGAGGAGTTTTATTAACTAATCACCTTATTAATGCAAAAATAAAGTTTTAATTTTGTAAGTGAGATAGTGTTGACACTGTTGTCCAGAGCAAACTCACCAAACCAAAGAAAAAGCTGTCCAAACCATCGTTTTGCGTAGGCCAGAGAAAATCAAACGGAATTCATTCAGAAAAGACCCACATCATGCACTTAAAAAAATAATAAAAAAAAAAATTAAAATAGCTTAAGCAAGATTTTTAAAAGAAAAAAAAAAACAAGGCCTTCTTTATTGCATGAACATTTGACACAACATGGTGGTTATAGTCACATGCATATCATGTGACAAATCACATGATCAAGTCATATTAAACAATCCAAATACCTGCAAAACACAATTTACAGTGCAGAAACCAAAATCTCACCTGTTTTCTCTGATACACTTTGCAAATATATAAGATACAGAGCACTTTTGCCCAAAAACGTGATCAAAGCTGATATTCTGGGCCTATTTTTATCCATCTGAGAAAATTATTTCCCACAAAGTTTACACACCATTGTGACTGCCTGAAGTTGTACGCAAGCCTGATCTCTTAGGCCTACTAACTCAATCATATCCATCTAAACAATCCATGGCTGCATTATGAATATGATTAGCTAAGAGTCATATCCCAAACACATTCATGACGAAACAGGCACGTTGTAATTCCTCATTTAGATTGTGATTCTTTTTATTCCACAAAACTTCATGTCAGGCAGGCTGTGATGGGCATCTTTTAAGTGTTTAGACCCCATGTGTCAAACACAGGGCCCACAATCCTCTCCGGCCTGCAGAAGGATTTTAATTTTCTATTAATATCAGCCTGTTTCACAACACACTGCACTACAGTCCCCAGCATGCAATGCAACTTTACGTGCACTCTGACTCTCCGACCCCAACAACAGTCTATGGGACTGCGGTTACACCTCAATTCTACACCACTCATGTCACCAAACACACCAGCTGTATTTCAGCCAACACAAACACTAAACATCAGCTCAGCAGCTCAGAAACTGAGCCCAAGTATTAATGAACTTGCAGTAAAGAAAGGTTGCCAGGTGTCCAGTTCAAGCAAACAGGTAGGTTTAAAAGACTGAGCTCCTGGGGATATTTAAATTTTGATTATTTCAAGCTCTACTACAAGTGTCTGTATTTTACTGTTGAAGTTTTTGCATATTTTGAATAACCAGTGGCCGGTTTGCACAACGTTTATTTACAATGGAATATTTTTGTTCTTTGGCCCACAGATTTGTTGAAATGTTTTAATATGGCCCCTTTAGTTGTTGAGTTTGGCATCCCTGGTCTTGCCAGTGGACAGCACAGGTCAGCTCTTCTAATGGCACCTTTTTGTGGTCATTAATCCAAATCCAAAGTATTTTAAGTGTTAAGTATTATTACTTTTCTCTAGTGCTTAAAATATGTTTTAAGTTTCCTTTGTAAGTGGTTGCAGACCTTTCATGAACTAAATCCAGTTTTCCCTGAACTGTTGGACATAATTCATCTCTGCTCGGGTCAGGCATTCACTCTATGCAAGTTTAAGTCTTGTGTAGAGAACAGTGGCAGACATATTTGTGTGCTAGACCAAAGCAGGCATAGAACGGGAGAGAGGCCCAGCCACCCCACGGCCCACTTTACCTCGCAAAAGAAAGAAAAGTCTCTCAAACTTAGAACTCGTAACTGACGTACACATTAATATGCTGCTACACTACTTATGTTCACTGGAGAGAGGAACCCTGACGTTCTCCACAGGTGCAGGACTGGCGTTTGACAACTTTGACTTTAAGGGAGCGACAATAAAGGAATCTAAATCTGCTTATTAGTGAAAAGCATGTCCTGCAAGCATAGCAGGCCTGAAGGGGCATCATTAGCCCAACATTCATTTGATTATACCATCTGTTCTAGGCTAATTTACCCACTCATACCCATATTTTTGAACAAGCCAATCATACTTTGAGTAAAAAAGTGAGTGTTGCATGCTGAAATACACCCTGACTTGTTTACAACTGAGATCGCTCATAACATCTGGAAACTCCCAATTATGTTGCGCTGCAAATATCATTTAATGTAGTTTGATCTGCACTACAGTTAAATGCCTTTTGTGCATGAAACCAATAAAGCTGACCAAAAATGTTTTATTAGCTTTGCCCCAGGCCTAATATTAACGGTAGTGTAATAGGTTTAACAGTATCAGGAGCTTTCAATCCACTTCTCAGTGGTCTTGTGCATTTATTGCATTAAGTGGTATCATTATGCCATCTACTGTGTGCAGCTTCTTCAGAGACCCTCCAAAAAAAGTTACATCTATCCATTCATATTATACAGAAAAATAACCCATGAGTGATGGCAAAAGCAAAGGAACTTGACTTGAACGGCCAAATATTTCTCGGCAAGTCGTCACCACTTTAGTCTTTAATGGAGACTTTTGTGACCATGTCAAGTATAATAAAGTCCCGTCAGGAGCTTCCAGGCAAATCAAACTTACGCAAAGTTAATGAATAAGAAACATTAGACAGGCTTTAATGCAAAGCTACATACATGTGTTAGTTACAATTTATAGCTAGAATGAAAACCTCTCATGATAAATGTGTATATTGCCGTTGTTGGAACAAAACCTCGCATCTCCAAAATGGTTACTTTACAGGAGAAGAACCTACTTTACTTTTAATGTAAGTCAATGGAACCAGACTTTTTTCCAAGTCATTTTGGGCCGTTTCTTTTGGTCCATTCATCATGAAATTTACACACAAAGTAAAGGACAACAGACATTTTCAAATTATGATAAAAACTGAAAAAAATGGAGTTATGAGGTTTTCTTCCGACAACAACGACATGTTGCTGCTGTAAGGACATTTGTCACTTTTTGACCTAATTTGAAATGACCAGTTGTCCTTCATGTTGTGCCAAAATTTCATAATGAACGGACCAATAGAAACAGTCCAAAATTACTTTCTCCCAAAATATTTTTTCCATTTACCTACATTAAAAGTTAAGAACATTTTTCCTTCTCCTGTAAAGCTGCCCTTTTGTTTTTTTTTTTACGTTTTGTTCTGACAGCAACGATATGCTTGATTTTGGGGACGTGTTTATTTATTTTATTTAACTCATGAAACTCTTTGCCCCTTATTTCTATGTTCAAAGGTTTACTGTTATGTATTTCATTGCTATTATTAGTATTGTATCTCATTAAACATTACCTAATGCTTTTGTGTAGCAACTGCGTTCCTGTACATTTTCACACTATAAACCACAAATTTATGCTAAATTAATATCAGTCCCATAGATCGGTTATGGGTGTCACTGTCTTCTGATAATCAGTATGAATACAGGGGGACAACAAAACAAGCACTTTGCATATACAAACCTGAAAAGTTGGGCATTTTTAATAATCTTGATTTAATGTCACAAGCTGAAGGCTCTGCACACCGCAGGTCCCACTTCAACGGCTCAGACAGCTATGACTTCGGCATAAATCAAGACATAAACCGAGCAAAGTAACAGGGATTCATCTGCATGTAATTCAGCTCTAAAATCATGCTGAGTAATTTAATTCACTGGAAAAGCTGGGGGAAAAATAAACATCAGCTTTAAAAGGCTGCATGAGTGAAAGACAGCATAGATCCACTGAGATGGTAAGTGAAAAATAACTCACTTTTATATGTAAAAATATTAAAAGAAATAACTTAAAGAAACCTGAAACATAAACAGTGGTTACCAATGTAAAGAAAGTCACAGTGGACAAATTAAGACCGCCGGTGAAGATTTTCTATAACATTCACAGATGAAACAGTCTAAATTTAAAAAAAAGAAAATTCACATAGACGAAACACGATTTAAATAAAAAACATTACATACAGGCTCAAGCTTTTTCACATTTATAAAAAACAAAAAAAAAAAAGAAAAAAATCGGCAGCAAGTTAGTAAAAACGCATCCCAATAAAAGTACAAAAAATAAATTGTTATAAAACGTAACAATCCCAAAGGAAGATATAAGTCGCCCATCACACTTGTTCCATTTTGTTATCTAAAAATATACTAAGCAATTAATATTTTTACAAACACAAATTCGTACAAAATGACAAGACTCTCATTCCACTAAACCGCACGCAAACTTAAATATACACACAAACGCGTAACTGTATGGGGTTCCGATTTCCTACAGTGTGTTTTGGAGTGATGGAGAAAGCTGCACCAGCAAAGAAACGTGAAATATATCATAGCAAAATAAACGTTTTAAATGCTGCAGCACTTTTACGGGGGAAGTCGAGTTAAATAGCACCAAAAACTAAACTCATTTTCTTAACAAATACCATTTCCATCCAGTTCCCTCAATCCCAAAGAACAGTTTCCAGTTACCACTTTCAAAATACCCTCAAGACTAAAGAGCAGTTCTCTGTAACAGGTATGGATTTATACCACCACAACCTTTCTGAAACATGGCCTGAAATGGGCCCATGTGTGGTCACACTACACTGCTCATGCCTTAAAAACCAAACACCACGATTTAGCTTCCTGACCATGTACACGAGCTCTCTGTTCATATGCTACAGAAGCTAAAGCACACAGTATTAAAAGCCATGCGTAACTAACAAAAACATGGGCTTCCCATCCAGCTTAGACCTTTGAGTACATGCTACATGCTTAATGCTTGCTTGGCACTTGCAAATCTGGCGTATACTGCATTTTTTTTCTTTTCAATTTTCTTTACAAATGAATTAGTAGTTTAGAAAGTGCCAGATTTTTAAAACCTGAAACACCTGGGACAAACTCCTACCACACTGGTTTGGAAAAATCATCTTATTTGCATAGTTTACTGTTGTCTAGCTGTGTCCAAATAAATATTACCTGATCCACAATGGTTACTTTCCCAAATAAATAAGTTACGGTAGGCTTAAACTAGACTGCTGGGCAGGTGACAGAGGAGTCCTTCTGACAGATGAGGCACCCTGGAAAAAGATATAAACAACAAAACTGGATCAAGTTACACCATAAAAGCAACTTTTTGAATAGTAAGTGACTTTCAAACACAGCATCCATAAGCAAACAGGTTAATAATGAACAAATCAGGTAAAACTTGGCAATTCTAAGGTTTAGATGGTGTGTTTTCACTACAGAAATGAGTGTTTGCTACGTAATATTATGCAATTATAGTTTTGATGTTATTATTTTCCCACCAGGACCGAATGAATAACAGTGAGTGTGTTTACATGCACTTAATAATCCGATAACTGCAGAAAATCAGATTTTATTGGTAATCGGATCAACGCGTTTACATGCTCTTGAGTAATCAGATAATGGGAAACTCCGGGTCTACATGAGTCAGACAGTAATCAGATTTCTGCTTTGCCAATACTCACAGAAGAAGACGTGACGTAAATGTAACGTAAACTTAAATTTCACAGAGCAGCTTTTGTTAAAACATCGCGCCACTTTACCTGAAATTTGAACATACATCATCTAGAAGATGAAGAATATTTAAATCCTTTATTTCGTCAAGCACATTATTGGTTTAGCGCTTTGTTTTCGCTCCAAAAGTGTTTGTGGCACTGCAGCTTACTTATTTCCGGTACCGCCGTCTGTTTCCACACATGCGCAGACTGAGAAATCCGAAAGAAATCAGAGTAAGAGTTTACATGCACTGAGAAATCTGATTACTGAGCTAAAATCCGGCCTCTTTATCGGATTTCTAGATCTTAATCTGATCTAAGAAATCACAGTATGCTGTTAACCATTTGAATGATCAGATGCAGAAATCTGATAATGATCAGATTATTGAGTGCATGTAAACACACTCATTGACAGCTGCAGTCATTTGATTCTTCTGAAAACACTGAGTCCTCCAAGTGAGAAGACAACAGAAGTCGACACAATCTGCAATCAAATATGTTTTTTCTATTATATACATTGCACTGAAGACCTCTAGACTGAATTTAAAGCCAGAACTTACGTTTCCCTTGGCCACCTCTTTGGTCTGGGTCATTCTTGTTTCTGTCCTCTCAGTTATAAGCTGGTTCCCCAAAACCTTTCGCTGTACATATGAAAAGAGTTTTTAACTGGCAACTGTGATAAAACTGGGTTTCTCAATACCAAACAGGATAGAAAAGATGGGAGCAGCATCCAGCACTAAAAACTCAGTTAAATCTACCCAATAAAAATAAAACAGACAAAAAGTACGACAAACCTTGATAAGACCTCCAAAGGACCGTGAGCGGCCATGCTTCTGACTTGAAGGTCTGGAGCATTCCCGTACTGGCGTTCCCTGCTTATTGAACTACAAAATAAAATCTCCAATCAATGCGATTATTTAGAGACGCTCTAAAAAATATGGAAATTCATCACTACTCTCATTACAGTAACTTGGATATGAACTAAGGAAAGTAGCATTAAAAAAAAGCTAAGGGCCAGTCTAGCAAAACCTTCTGGCATAGAGATGCTGTAGAGATGTGGCACAGAGGGCACACAGAAACAGGAACATACACTATATAGACAAAAGTATTGGGACACTCCTCCTAATTATTGAGTTCAAGTGTTTGAGCCACACCCACTGTTAACAGGCAAAATCAATAGAGAGGTCTCCATAGAGAAACACTGGCAGTAGAGGGTCGTACTGAAGAGCTCTGTGACTTTAAACATGGCACCGTCAAAGGTTGCCACCTCTGCCACAAGTCAGTTTGCGAAGTTTCTGTCCTGCTAGATCTGCCCTGGTCAACCGCAAGTGTCGGATGGAATGGCGTAAAGTACGTCACCACTGGACTCAGTGGAAACGTATTCTTTGGAGTGACTAATCACGCTTCTCTGTCTGTCAGTCTGATGAACGAGTCTGGGTTTGGCGAAAGCCAGGAGAACGTTACCTGCCTGACTGCACTGTGCCAGCTGTAAAGTTTGGTGGAGGAGGGATGATGCTATGGGGTTGTTTTTCAGGGGTTGGTCTAGAACCCTTAGTTCCAGTAAAGGGAACTCTTACTGCTTCAGCAGAGCAAGACATTTTGGACAACTGTAAGCTTCCAACTTTGTGGGAACAGTTTGGCTAAGAACCTTTCCTGTTCCAGCATGACTGAGCTTCAGTGCATAAAGCAGGGTCCATAAAGGCCTGACTGGGTGAGTTTAGTGTGGAAGAACTTGACTGGCCCTCACAGAGCCCTGACCTCAACCCCATCAAACACCCTTGGGATGAACTAGAAAGGAGATTGTGAAGGAGAATGCTCTTCTGGATGAATGGGCAAAAATTCCCACAGACACTCTCCAAAATCTTGTAGAAAGCTTCCCAGAAGAGTGGAAGCTGTTATAGCTACAAAGGGGACCAACTCCATATTAATGCCTATGGATTTAGGACTGGATGTCATAAAAGCTCCTGTAGGTGTCCCAATACTTTTGTCCATATAGCATATTAGTAATTAGTGTCAGGTCTCAGACTTTTTCTTGCCAATTTTGTTTGTAAAGTAGCAGTTTTTCCGTAGATACGACCAAGCCAGAAATATATCCAGATTATGACGGCACATGTTGACATACTAAAAACTAAATTATTTGCGCTAAAGTGAATTATTATGATTACAGTAGCAACTCACACTAAAACCGGTTACCTGTCGAATCAGCTTCTTCTTTTTTGTAGAGTCTGGCATATTGGTAACGTGATTGAAGAGCTCTCGGAGAGCATCCTGGGTGTGCTGCTCACCACCATCATGCTCCTCACTGCTTCTTTTGGTGGGCAGCAGGCTTCGGTTGACCACCCCAGCATACAGCTCCATGTCATCCTGTAGCAACACATTAGATCTGATTTAGATTCTGGTCAGTGTATCCACAGTGAGAGATTATGTGTTAAAAAAAAAGAGGCAGGAGAAACTTCTTTGAAATTCTATCAAAGCCAAGCTTGCACAAGACAAAAGCTTTACTGTCTGATAATGAAAGGCAAATATAATTTATATGCAGATCTTTTGTGGCCTGTATTCAAATAACTGACAGTATTTTAATTCATGTAGCTCAGGAACAAAGGTTTAATTAACTTTATGTATGAGGTTGAAAATGATCACCTGATATTCATTCAACTGCAAATGTACAAAAGGTTTTGATATGTTTGAAGGTGACAGCCATCATAGAACAATTCTTTACAATCCATTCCTTTACATCACACTGACAGAGGAAAATTAAAAAGTGTACAACGGTGCAATACTAACCTTTGATTGAGGAGTTTTCGATCCTGCAAAGAGTGTCCGGGCATGTTCTTTGATATATGATGGTGCCTAGAAAAAAATGGAAATAGAAAATGTCATTAAAGTGCATGATGAAAAGAACTTTCCATAAAGTTGAAGGTCCCTTTCAATTAAAATTAAATGACTTCTGCACAAACTTCTGCTAACCTTTTTGAGCGCACACATCCCATTTAAAACCGGATATCACTTTAACACAGTGCAAGTTCAGAGATTAGTTTATTAAGTTCTTACCCGAAACAACTTCTGCGAGTGCTTGATCAGAAACGCGATGCCGTTGTTGAGTTTTTTCATGTTATCCTGCAGATCATTCGCTGTGACCTGTGAGCAGATAAGTAAGTTTTCTTTACAAAGCTGCAGCGCAAGACAAAGACCAACAGTGGATGAAAAATTCAGTGCTTACATTTTTTGGCCATACGATGTGGGGTGCGAACATGAGCGCCAAGTTGTAGGCAGACATTTTATTTTTGTCTTGTTGCTTGGCGGTCTGATACAGCAGGTCCAGCAACAGTTTGAGGAGGCTGCGGTTGGCTGGAGGAAGCAGCATGAAGAGCAGCTGGAGCGCTTCAATCTGACGCTCTTTGTTAGGGACAGATGTCTTATTACCTTTCTCATCAAACAACATCATCTCTGCAATAGAGAAAAGAGAAGGTTGGTACACTTCTACACACACACACACACACACACACACACACACACGCACCGATCAGGCATAACATTCTGACCACCTCCTTGTTTCTACGCTCATTGTCCATTTTATCAGCTCCACTTACTATATAGGTGCACTTTGTAGTTCTACAGTTACAGACTGTAGTCCATCTGTTTCTCTGCATACTTTGTTAGCCCCCTTTTACCCTGTTCTTCAGTGGTCAGGACCCCCATGGACCCTCACAGAGCAGGTACTGTTTGGGTGGTGGATCATTCTCAGCACTGCAGTAACACTGACGTGGTGGTGGTGTGTTAGAATGTGTTGTGCTGGTATGAGTGGATCAGACACAGCAGTGCTGCTGGAGTTTTTGAACACCTCAGTGTCTCTGCTGGACTGAGAACAGTCCACCAACCAAAAATATCCAGCCAACAGCGTCCTGTGGGCAGCGTCCTGTGACCACTGATGAAGGACTAGAGGATGACCAACACAAACTGTGCAGCAGCAGATGAGCTATCGTCTCTGACTTTACATCTACAAGGTGGACTGACAAGGTAGGAGTGTCTAATAGAGTGGACAGTGAGTGGACACAGCGTTTAAAAACTCCAGCAGCACTGCTGTGTCTGAATCACTCATACCAGCACAACACACACTAACACACCACCACCATGTCAGTGTTACTGCAGTGCTGAGAATGATCCACCACCCAACAGTACCTGCTTTGTGAGGGTCCATGGAGGTCCTGACCACTGAAGAACAGGGTAAAAGGGGGCTAACAAAGTATGCAGAGAAACAGATGGACTACAGTCTGTATTTATAGAACTACAAAGTGCACCTATATAGTAAGTGGAGCTGATAAAATGGACAATGAGCGTAGAAACAAGGATCATAATGTTATGCCTGATCAGTGTATCTTCTTTTTTCCCTAAATGGGCTTATTTTGTAGACAAAATATAAATAAAATACTTTTACTGGAATAGAAGTTCATTTTATTCAGTTGATTTGGGAAAAATATGCTACAAAAACAGCTCATGTCACAAAAAACAACACATTTACATACATCCTCCTGTTCTGCCTATAGCAGTTTAGCTCCATCCATTCAGCCAATCAGTATGGAGGTCATTTACAAATCAGTCTTGTAGGCACAGTAAGGAAAAACATTGTTAATTTTAAGGATTAAAAAAGGTGGAAAATGGGCATGTAAAAGTGAATTACGACTGCATTATTATGTGTTACATAAGTAGTAATGGGGGCGCACAAGAAAAATGTGGGATAAGGATCCTTTTATGTTGCTTTTAATGTACTGCGAATTTAAGGTATTCAATTAAAGGTGCTAAGTGAGGATGGAAAAGGTGTCTGTTAAGTTATTTCATCACCACTGTCATCACTAAAATGTTCCTGAGATGAAGTGAAGCTGAACCCTTCGTCATTCATTGAGGGCGTACCGGCTATTTTGAGATGAGCGTGATAATGGCGGTGAGTCAGCAGCGGCTCCGGCAGCTCCCCCAAGAAGGTTTTGAGTAGCGTGGCCACGTCGTGGGGGTGGTAGTCCCCCGTCTCCAGGTCTATGTCTGCCCCGCTGTTGAGCATCTCCCTCAGGGCCTGCTGTCTGATGCTGTTCCCAGGCACACGGAACAGACCCTCCACATGCAGGTCTGACAGACAGCGGAAGAGCAAAGTGCTTTGACATGAATTATTCAGCCCCCTACCCCATTCAGTCCGTGTCCACTTTCTTGCCTATGACATCATCCAGCGCCCGAAATATACCATGAGCTCATACTCCAAAACTTGTTCGCTTCAGGTCAAGAGCTTTGCTAATGTGGGACACGGATGAGACTCTGGAGAATCCCTTTTAGCTGCAGCAACCACACAGCAAAAAATGCAGACGCACATGAAAAGTCGCTCGCTCGCTCTCTCTCTCTCTCTCTGCCACAAGGAGATCTAAACTTACATATGCTTAACGTTTGCACCAATGAGGTGCAGAGACGTGTCATTTCTAAGGCAGTCAATTCTTTGATGTTCTCTATATTAAAACAAGGATGTATGAAAAACTAAATAGATGCTTTATCCCAAAAAACAGACAGACACTTACTTTTCCCAAGGTACTCGATTAGCTGGTAAATTTGTGCAATGCCCTCCTCAGTTAGGGGCGCTCCAAAGACCACTCCTTTTTCTGCAAAAATCAGAAGAGAGAAAACATAGCAGACTCACTTTAAATGTTTGATAATTGGTTCACTGTTGAAAGCTGCAGCCAAAGACACTTACAGTACTTAAAGGGGAATTCCACCGAGTTTTCAAAATTTCTGTGCAAGTCAATTATGGAGATGAAAACAAAGTCATTCAGAGTGGTCTGATGCAAAACAGTGCATTGCAGAAAAACTCAGATTTCTTTGTATGAGTAGTAATAGGAACCAGGGGTCACAATGTCTACAATGCAAACAATGATAAAATAGTGTTAAATCTGAGAAAAGAAAAAGAAGGGGGGGGGTGTGGTAATTCTGGAAAAAAGAAAAAAAATGATAAAATAGTGGTAAATCTGAAAAAAGAAAAAAATACTAAAATAGTGGTAAATCTGAAAAAAGAAAAAAATACTAAAATAGTGGTAAATCTGAAAGAAATATTAAAATGTAATAAATATAAAAAAGAAAATTGATAAAAATAGCAGTAAATCTGGAACAAGACAAAAATATAAAATAGTGGTAATTTAAAAAAGATCAAATGTGGTAAATCTGAGAAAAAAAAAATAGTGGTAAATCTGAAAAAAGAAAACAATATTGATAAAATTTGCAGTAAATCTGAAAAAAGAAAAAATGGATAAAACAGTGGTAAATCTGAAAAATAAATTTGATAAAAAATAGTGGTAATTCTGAAAAAAGAAAAAAAAAATAGTGGTAAATCTGAAAAAAGAAAAAAAAAAAATATATATATATATTTTCTATTTTGATTTACAATGCATGTACCACTCTACCATGAATAAATTACAAACAAAAATGTGAGCGGTGTTGCTCAAACTAGTCGTCAGGGAACCCCGGATAGTCCACATTTTTAGTCCATTCCCGTGTGTTGCAAGTTATATTGGGCGCGAAAATCATACTAGATAGCAAATAGTAGTATAACATATATGTATAACAACTTTAGCTGTCATAGTGTATACTGTCTAGTGCATAGCGTGTAATCCATATGGATTTTTTGCAGGTTAGCCTTCGGATATGTAACGTCACATATAAGGAAAACACAGTATAAATAACAGGAAAATTAAAGCATGACAGCAATATAATCAGTAAATTAACAATAGTATGTTTTTTGGCTTTTGCGACGTGCATTTGTTTACCTTTACGCTTCAGGAAGCTCGGAAGGCGGAGGAAGCCTGTCGATACGGGGAGCTTGGGGTCGGCCTCCCCCTGCAGCTGGGCGAATTCTGCTCCAGGTAAATCAATGAGCCTGGTGATGTTACTCAACAGCAGCTCCATGAACACCTGGGGCTTCTCATGTCTGAGTTTCTCCACAAAAAAGTCAGGGTTGAAGATGACTGGCTGGTTCTGATGCATCTCTTGGCTTATGACTATATTACATACTGTTCCCCTTCAAAGTGACAGAAGAAAGTGGAGCAAAACAGTCAGTCAGTCATTTACACACAAGAAACAGACTTGATTTTGGTCGACAAATCCACATAGTACATATGTTTACATGCTAAGTTTTAGTGGTGCACGATTAGAATTGGTCAAGCTCAGAATCTGCAGACTTTCTCTTAAAACCTTCAATCAGCATTTGGGCTCATGTATTATTTTTATTTTGACTGATCTGTGCTGCAGGCGGCACAGTGGTGCAGTGGGTAGCGCAGTTGCCTTACAGCCAGAAGGGCCTCCCACAGTCCAAAGACATGCAGTCAGGCCGGATGGAGATGCTAAATTGCCCCTAGGTGTGAATGAATGTGTGAATGAATCTGTTTGTCGGCCCTGTGATGGACTGGCGGCCTGTCCAGGGTGTTTCCTGCCTTCCACCCAATGACCGCTGGGAGAGACTCCTGCTCCCCCCACAAATCAGCAGAATAAATGACTGGGTGAGAGTGATCTGTATTGCAATTTTATAACATAAGTGCACTCATACTTTACTTGAATGTTGCTGCTACACACACACACACACACACACACACACACACACACACACACACACCATAATATCATAGCAAATTATGCATGAGTCATTGCGTTAAATAGCCTGCTGCCTCTTTCTGTCAATGTAGCACTACGTTTGATTCATGTTATTTAAATACGCAACTGATTTTTCACTTACAAAAGAGTCAGTTTGGTGAACTGATGAGCAAATACATGTTATACTGAGACCAGAAAGTGCTGGAAACGTGCTAACATGTTTCATATGTTCAGTGTCTCAAAAATAAAAGTTGATACAAATTGGCCAAAAAAGAAATATTATATATATATATATATATATATATATATATATATATATATATATATATATATATATATATATATATATACATACACACACATACACATATATAACTTAAGAGTAATTTATTTACTATGTTATACAACATTTTATTCATAGGTGTTGCATAAATAAAGCACTGCAGGCTTGAAGGGGAACTCCACCGATTTTTTCAAAATGTCTGCATAATTAAATGCTTACCATGTAAACCCAGTCATCTAGAGTGGTTTGGTGTGAAATGCTTTGTTTTAGAGAAACCTAGAGACAAAACTGTTCACAGTGGCGGTGATAGGAACCAGACGTCCACCTCTAAAAGCTCCCTTACATAAAGTTATAACATGAAATGGTTATGAATTCACTGCCTGATGTCTGAGACACTGTTTTGTGACAAAGTTTTGGCATAAAACGTATTTTTATCAATTTACATTTACATTTAGAGCATTTGCCAGACGCTCTTATCCAGAGTGACTTACAAAAAGTGCTTTGTCTATCTAGAGAAAGTATTTTTGCTAGTTAGAGAGAAATTTACTGGTGGAAGGATACATGAAAGGCGTTCTAAGGCAAAACAGACCCCAAAGAAAACTTATTTCACCATCCTCAACATTAGCTACGTATAAAAACTTACATAAAGGTTCACTGGTGGTTTTGGATAAGTTAGTAAATAGCTAAAACGTCTATATTTGCGTTGTAGACACCTGGATCACCACCACTGTATAGAAATCTGAACCATTTCACACCAAACGACTCTGTTTTTTCATCTCAGCCACTGAATTATTCGGAAATTTTGGAAATGGGTGGAATTCCCCTTTAATTTCTATGGGCTTCACAAGTAAAGCAGTAACGGTCCTATTCTGTGTTTTTTTGTACCAAATTATTTTGGCAGAGTAGAAGGCAACGTTATCCATCCAGAACACAGCACTGTAACCACAATAACAGCTTGCACGATACCAGGAAGAGCAACGTTAGCAATGAAAGCTGATCGTATGTTGTGATACGACATTAGCACGGTTAGCTAACCTAGTTAGCCACAACAGATAGAACAGCTAACCTAGCTGGCTGACAGCAAGGCAATCAGGATTAACGTAACAGACGTTAGCTACGTTACTATCGTCAGGTTCTCTGAAAAAGCGATAAAGTCCGTGTTTTCGACATGAAAAGACCCGGAGCTGTAATAGCCGGACGGCTAACGCTCAGACTCTTCTTGTTTGAATTGTTCCGTTCCACCTTAAATGGTGCAGCAGCTGCACTCTGGCACCTGAGGCGTTATATAACTAACTACCGCATCATTTAAGGTGGACCGGTGAAATTCGACTAAGAAGCTGGCTTCAGCCTCGTTGGACGATAAGAAATTTCTTCTAAATTAAACCCAAACAATGACAGAACCGTTAGACGGTCAGCCTGACAGTTTGGACCGAAGCAACGGCCAAACATTTCTCAGCCAAACTGACGTTAACGCTCAGCTTTCTGTCAAGCTCCCACCGAACGAAGCCTATTTCATCGGCTCCCATTCGCGTGAAATCTTAAACAGACCCCTGTTTAAGTTTTCGGTTTATCACATTTAATAATTCTCCGTTAATAATTGAAGACAAAAAGATTAAAAGCGAAGCGCCCACCTCCGGCTCTGTTTGCTGTCCTCAGCCTCTTTCTCCGCCGCCATACTCCAGTTTGAATTTTCCACTGAAGCCTCTTTTGACCCGCCCTCTGATTCTAATTGGTCAGTTCTGGTTGGGGGCGGAGTCTGTCGCTCGTCCTGTTTTTATGAGTCTCCGCTTTCAGACGGGGGGCTTTTATTTTATTGACGCTCTGAGAGCGTTAAAGTGCGGCATCCGGGCACTTTTGGTCTGTTATTTGGTGAATTGCGTGGTATATATAGAAACTCAATCTCCTACAGTTTTTTTCTCCGTTTCTGTTTCTTGCTGCATGTAAAAATCTCTCGAAATGTTTGCAAATACTTATTTTCTCAAAATATTGACTTGCTATTTAAAAAAAAAATACTTCTTTAAAAAAAGACCCTCCTGAGACTCAGAAAAAATTTTCAATTTAGATTTGAGAATTTGTAAGATAAAATAAGTCTGAAAAAACTCATTACAGTGATTTTTTTTTTTTTGAAAAACACTTTTTTTATATATATAATGTGGACAGTAGGACGTTGCATAGTAATTTTGCTGATGTCATATTTCTTGTTTCCTATACTGCATCAGGCCAAAACCCTTCTGCAACATCAGCCTTTAAAGTCCTGATCATCAGTGTTGTCTGCTCATAGTAACTCCAGGGCACCCAGTCAGTTCGGCTTTGGGTGTCATTTAGCAGCAAACTGCTCCACGGTAGGGATGAATCGTAGGTATGAATGGAGAGGGATGAGAATTACTTTAATTTCGTTGTTTTAATTTTTTGAAGTACAATTGTGTAAAATGAGATTTTCTTAATTAAATTAGGAAATTAAATGAAGCTCAGATCCCGAGCTTAAATGCCTGCATACACTTAGGCCAGTTGTCCGTTTAGCAGTAAGAGTAAAACTTAAAATTCTGGCGGCACAAAATTGATGAAAAAAAAATAGACACAATAATATCACAGTTAATGTATTTAACTGCTAAGCTTACATGTTGTGGCTTCTAACCCAAACTGGATCAGGAGGGCTGTGATCATCCTTTAATTCTCTCTGCCTCAGTCAATTTCCTGTCACCTGTGATACCATGGATTTCATATAAAAACAGATTGCGTTAGTCCCATTGTCCATCACAGAGGACATCAAAGAAGGCTACTGTTAGGTGGTTAAACTTTTATGCATATCAATAAATAATTGCTTTAAAAAATGAGCTAAAATGTTTTTCTACCTAAAACATATAAATTATAGGTTTTAGAAACATCAGAAATGCATATTTTACTATTAACCTCTCTTAACCCATATAATGTGGTTGCTGAGATGGAGGCTATTGTGAAGAGGCAGAGCTCCTGTTGTGAATGACAGACCCCAACAAATGATACATCACTGGAAAGGCCAGGATGTCTCTGCATGGCGCACCAGGTTTCAGCACTGTAGCTTATTTGGTTTTTGAAACATCCTTTGGGCACTCACGTCCCCCACAGAGGACAAAAATGAATGACCAGGTCTCAGGAGGACATGCACGGCCATGCCGTATTAATGTGCTATAACAAGATCCTAATGCATGGCCACAAGTTAGTAAGGCATGGGAATGAGGTAATTAAGTCGTGGCCACGACTTAATAAGACATGTGAATGAGATCATGCCTTGTTTAGCTGTGGTCAAGGCTTAATTATCTTATTCCCATGTCTTACCAAGTTGTGGCCACACATTAGGATCTCGTTCCCACGCTTTACTAAGTCGTGATCATACATTATTTTTATTTACACGGGACGTCACCAGCATAGCTTTGTCCAAAGGAAATATTTTTCCATATATTTTTCAAATCATATGTCAAGTTTGTAATATATTTCTATGTTATAAATCCATATATTTGGCATTTTTGTAAATATACATCTAAATATGTGCATTTTTTTCTTTTTTTTTGCTTTTAGAGAGTTTTTCCTGCCACTGTCACTTTTGGCTCGCTCCTTGGGGGCTCGGACCCAGATGTTTCATGAAGCAGCTGTTGTAAAAAGCGCAGATAAATCAACTTGACTTGATATATTTCAATGTATTGACATGTATATGCATGTCTTGGCTTACATTAAACATATGAGTAAATATATGTACATACATTTTTCTTCCATGTGGGTTAGTATCTCATAATAATAAACCTGTTACCTGAAAATAATCACTTAATTTTATTGAAATTTAATATCTCATTGCTTTGACATACTATATCAAAATCACAAGAAGCTGTAATTTAGAGATACCAAGTCATATTTTGAGAAAATGGGTCATTATTTTGAGATATTAGGTCAATATTAAAAAAAAAAATTATAATATTTCAAGGTATTAAGGCAACATTATGAGAAAACAAGTATTTTAAAAATACTAAGTCAATATTGTGATTGTGCTCCTGCCAGAAAAACTGTGTGGTCATAATTGTCTTCTATAGGTTTTGATTCTTCTGGAACACTGTTTAGTGTGAAAATATGAAATTCAGGTGCAGCTTCAAACTCAAACAACCATCTGCTCCCTATGTGGTTCTATACTTTCTATATAGTGCACCCAGTTTTTAACACAACCCAACACTAGACATTTCCATCGTTGCCTACCTTCGACCACCAAATCATTAGATCCATGACCCTGTCAACCAGTAGGCCTGTATGACCCACTTAACCAAGCAGTAAAGAGGCTTATATGACATTATGCAAACAAACAAAGAGCTCTATAACACCCAGGATCATTTTGAGAGATTGTAGGATGGTCACAGAATCCTTCTGCTAATCATATTGTAGCACCTGCTGCACTATAATCAGTATATGGTTATGATTTTCACATTTTTGATTACCCTTATTAAGTCTGATTCCTGATCACAGGGCTTGAATTTAATATAAACTTTAATAAATGTTCCTCATTCAGACTCTATAGTAATTTGGACATGCAGTGTTTCTGTTCTCATCACTATTTTCCACCACTAGGGGTAGTCCACGCTCCAAGAACAAATCTCCTTGGCAAAAGTGCCCTCTGATTGGCTTTACAGTTTATTCAGTTAAAGGTCAAAGAACCAGAGCAAAGATTACATACAAAACGACTCACATTAACCGTTAAAACACCTCCAAAACAAAGATGAGGAAATTTCACATGCAATCAAATGAAACGGTCTTTCTGTACAATATCATATTTATATCTGTAGTTCACAAGAGGTAGTTAACTGTCAAAATCTGAGAATGTGCAAGTGCAAGTCCAACGCAAATGGGGATTGTTCTACATCAGAGCAAAGCAAGGCGAGGCTGAATCACATCACAGAATCACTAAGTCATCACCCCATTTTTGGAGCTAAATTGTGCATGAAACCAAATTTTTTTTGTCCTTCATTACAGCAACAATACAAACAACAGCAAGAATCAAGCAATCGATTTGATACCTATTAGCCTTAAAGCAATTCAACATGGCTGAGACTGTCCTCCACACAAAAGAGCATAAACAAAACAGAGCCATGCTGCCATGACTTAAAACTCAAGCGAAATGTCTTAATTTACCAAATAAAGCAACACCAGAACATTAACATGTCCTTAATTACAGTGCAGTCGATAGACAGTGGCTTCACAAAAGCATTCCTGCTCCAACGTCACCTCCAGGGTCTCTGTCGAATGAAAGAGCCTTAGGCAGATGTGCTGGCTGCTCCTGTGGAGTTCTGGCTGGCCATGCTCGTCACCGAAGCAGGGCTCTTGTGTCTGCAGACGTGAGGCCATCGAGGCCTGAGGGGGCCGACGGTCTTCCAGCAGGCCTTCCGGAACACGTTGGAGGAGATGCAGAAGAGGATGGGATCGAGGGCACTGTTGACGTACCAGAGAGGCAGCGACAGGTAGGACTTGAGAACCGTGTAGACCGTGAGCACCGTCCCTGACCATGTTTCCACGTACACCTGCATGAGCGAGGAGGCGATGTCAGGGAAGTTGCACATGAAGAAGGCCACCACCACCGCACCTAGAAGACGCAGAGAGAGCAGCTGACAAAGACATCACACCGAATGTACTAGGGTAACACAACCACAGCACAGAGAGGCCATCTCACCCATAAGCCGCAAAGCCCGTTTCTCCTGAAGGAGCAGCTTCCCGTCCTGGAGGCACTGCGCGTTCCCTCCGCTGTTGACCGCCCTGGTGATGCCCATAGCCGTCCGCTGGCGGCTGTTGTAGCGGAAGTGGATGATGATGAGGACGTATAGCGTGAAGATGCACATGAGCGGCACCAAGAAGCAAAAGATGCCCCTCAGCAGGAGGGCTCCCTTGTAAACCGGAGAAGGCTCCTGCTCGGTCATCTCGCACATGGTGGACACCACGAAGACTTTGTCGGGTGAAGTGGCGCCGTAGTCCAGGATGCAGGCCCGGGCGTGTCTGTAGACCAAGGCGAAGGGCACGGAAGAGCCCAACGATATCAGCCAGATCCAGCCCAAGAGGCAGGGCAGCCGGGATCTTCTGAGACTCGACAGGGACCACATGGTGTGGCAGATGGCCATGTAGCGCTCGGTGGTGAATGCCAGGATGACCCAGCTAGTGGTGGCGCAGTACATCTGCCGCACCATGAAATAGGCCTTGCACAAAGGTTCTCCTAGCCTCCAGGGGTAGCTCTCCCAATAATAGCGGTACACGGTGATGGGGATAGTCAGCAGCTGGAGGATGTCGGACAGAACCAGGCTGAGGAGATAGAGCTGGATGGCGCTGGCCTTCATGCGGGCGTCGGTGAGGAGGGTCAGGATGCTGACGCCATTAAAGAGGACCCCAAAGACGAAGAGAACGCTGTAGAATATGGTCATAGGGATGGCGATGTGGTAGGGCTCCTGCTTGGTGACGCTGATGTAAAGATCAGGCGGCGAGTTCGGGCTCATGTTGCAGGAGAACTGGAACGTCCCGAAGGATTCATTCATGCTGGTAGATGAACAGAATGCAAAGCGTTATAGCCTCTCAACACCACCGTCTTGTTTCCAGGAACACCTCAAAGAACCTTGAGACGAAGAGGAAAAAATGAATGAATCTAAAAGAACAAGCAGTTGGAACGGATTGCGTATAATATAATTCACGATTTAGCACCTCAGGAGCTTTTTCTATCTTTTTTTTTTTTTACCACAATCCCACAACAACAAGATTTATAATGACAGACAGAACGCCCCATGATCCTAATGAGCCATTTTCAGGTTCTGCAAATGCCCGCAACGCTGCCCTCACCAGTGCTCTTTATTCAAATGTCATTCACATTGAGAGAGAATGCCTACAAATGGAGGAGAACTAAATCCAGGCAACATACCTGAGCCTGAGCACATGCTGGAATGAAAAGAAAACAAAAAAAAAACACAAGCCTGTAATTATCTTTAAATGAGCACAGTTGTCGCTGAAAAACAGCTACTCAGAACAATTTCCAGCAAATGGAAATTAGATTCTGGAGCATTTTTGATTTGCATCATTGCACACTTACGAACTGCGGTAACATAAGGAAAGGTGGTATTCATACATAAACAGCCGAAAGAGAGTAAAAGATGAAAGATATCATTATGCACAGCTAGTGATGTTCTGTACGTTGCCTTAATTACATATGATGAGTAAAGCAAACAGGTGGTCTTTAAAACTTGCCAGGAACTAATGTTGACACCACTGCTGAGAAGTCCTTAAGCATCTTCTTACAGTGCATAGAAACCATATTAGTATATTTGCTGAAAACACTGCTGGACTCACCGCGAAGTGAAGTGTGGAACAGCTCACGAAAGACTGAGATGTGCATCCGAGTCTGATTCAGCCACCAAATGAAACATTCTGTGTGAACATTTGCCCCCTCCCTTCGGTTTCTCCCTCTCTCCCTCCCTCTCTCTCTCTTTCTCTCTCTTCGCCTCTCTGCCGCTCTCTTTTTTTCAGCACCTGCGTTTTGCTCTCTCACAGTTTACAATTATCCTGCGTCTCCAGAGAAAGAAGAACGAGACTAAAGGCAAGCTGCAGGTGTACAGATAAGCGAATTATACTTGCGCTGTGGTTTTGCTTCATACTACATTCAAAAACTTCTCCTTTTATCATGAAGCACAGTTTCATTTCCCTTTCCAAGTCCAGTGAACGAGGCTAGAGGTCAGCTAATAAGTGCGGACCCAGAACCAGATCCATCTCTAAAAATCAAATTAATTGAGACGAATTTCCAATGGTAAACTCTTAAATTCTTTAAGTTGGATGCCGGAAAACAGACTGGAAATCTACAACGTAGAACACTGAAGGTTTGTAAATGGGTAGCTTTTCAACATGTCAGCAGGTGCAACAGGCTTCCGTGACGGCTGCAAATATGAAGAAACATTACTCAGGTGGGAGATGATCAGCAGGATGGAAAACCGCTCAGATATGGATGAAAGTTGTGGGAGATGCAGAAAAAGAAACCGAGATCTTGGGAAAACAGAGTGCTTGAGGGTGCATGCAGTCCCATCCCCAGCAAGCCATTCCCATGAAAGACGCTTCCCACTTTGGCCACACAAATGACAATGCCGAGAGCATGAATGCCCTGACAAAGACGGCTCCTTGTGTCTCCATGGAGATGTGTCATTTCCACATGACCTGAGGAACGCCGGGCTTTCATAAAGCGGACCTGTGGAGGGAAAGATCTGAGAAATCCAATTCTGACTTCACTGGGAGCCTCAGCGAAAAGGGTTCAATACAGCACCAGTAAGGTGACTTGTGACAATAGAGGAACCCTTTTTTATGTGGAGCCATTTTTCAAGGGAACCATATGCAACCGTCATGATGAGGAGTCCTTTGAGTTCTCATGGTTCTTTATGTAAGGTGACCAGTATGGTACTTTAGCGTCTTAGAAAAGAGGGCTAAAAAGAGGTGCAGCCTCAAATCTACTGGCTACTCATCCACTCAGCCCGCTGGTTCGGCAGGACTGGCGTGCTGGATGTGACGCTCGACTGCGCTCCCCTTCCACATACAGCAACTCCTTGTGAGGAACTTCCTCTTTTAGGGGGTACAGAATGAATGTGAATGGTGACCAGATATTGATTTGCTGTTCATTTTGCTTTAAAGGACTTCGGCAGTCTTCACCAGCAAAACACAAGAAGTGTCAGGGGAGGCCATTATACAGGGTGTCCCAAAAAAATGACATCATTTCGTAGGCTAATAACGTAGCCGATTCTCCCTCAAGCGATCTCAAATTTTAACAAAATGTTAACCAAGTTAACCAAGTGCCGCTGAAATGGCCACCACGTTCACTTGACTTGACACCTTGTGATTTTTTCCATGGGGCCACGTGAAAGGACTGGTCTACATCCCCCCTTTTCCTACAAGCCTAGAGGAACTCAAGCAGAGAAACACTACTGCGCTGGAGGCTGTTACGCAAGACATGATACAGCGTGCTTGGCAGGAGCTGGACTACCAACTTGACGTGTGTCGTGTCACAGGCGGTACACATAATGAACATTTGTGAAGCTTTGTGAAATCGGTTATAAAATCTACACCCCTCTGAATTTCTTGTTCAAATTTTGATAAATAAATCTTGGATTGTTCAACATGAAGCTTGTTTAATTTCGTTTGCCCAGGACTTGTAGTTACTCAGATATTCACATCTCAAATGATGTCAATTTTTTTGAGGCACCCTGTATTTGCTCAGGAAATTTGCTCTTAGCTCATACATACTAGCAATACATCCTGCTAATTTACAGCAGCCTTTATGTGCTCATACTTCGTCTTATGTCCATTTCTTATGAAATATCTCTTTATTTATTTATGTCCGTTTTCTCTTAACTTCACTGTTCATTCTGGGCTTAGCAGATCATTTCCGTCCCACTGCGGGAGCGTAAGGGCTACACGTACCTTCTCTGATGGATGGATGTATCTTTTCTAGAAAGAACTGTCCAGAAATCGTTCTCGGATGCCCTGTGTGGCTGGAGATAAATGGAAAGCTTCATGATCACACTGCTTTACGTTCTCACGGAACGTTCTTCAGAAAATCTGACCGAAGCCTGACAATGAGACTTGAGCAGCATTTCCGAGCTGTCCACGTTGGCGTTAGCCTTGTTAACGTGACTCATTTGAAAATGAATCTAATGCCTTCCTTAGATGCCTGATGCCTGATGAGGGACCCATCCAATTATAGCTCATTCTTCACCCCGGAGAAAGAGAGAGGTGAAAAGAGAGAGAGAGAGAGAGAGAGAGTGAGTGACAGAGGTGTAACGACGGAAACTGAAAGAGTGAGTGTGGATGGAAGGATCTCAAAAGATTGGCCTGGTTTGCTTTAGTTGACAGACCACATGATTCAAAAGCACCAATGGAGCTGAAGGCCACACTCCTTCATCCTGATTGAATTAGACGGAAATTGATGTGATTTTAATGAGTTGGTCAGACGCCTCGATTGGGTCTGCCCAGACCTATAGAGCTCCAACACTGTCGTCCCTCTCTATATTCAAATGTACATGACATGAATGTTGAAATGACAGCACTATTATCTGAGCAGCTGAGCAAAGACCACAACATGCAATCCAGTTTAATGACTTGCTATACTTCATAGTCGTGTCATTGTATTAGTTTACATTCATCATTCATTGTTCACTGAGCGCTGATGTAGATTGAAAGGACGAGTGTCTCAACATGGTTTCAGCATTTTAGTGATATATCCTTCAGTTTGAGCGTCCACGTCTAGGGGTCGGGTGTCCTGATTCTTGTTGAGATAGAGGGGTAGGGTGAAGTGTTGGGGCTACATGGCCCTCCAAACTGAGGTTTTTCAGAGACTAAAAGAGACCAAAGAAACCAACAAATATGAGAATTTTCTCTGTTAAAAATTACGATAAAATTTTATTATCTTAGTTTAATGTCATTCTAGTGTATTATGGTCTTTTTCTTCATAACAAGCTTAAAAAATCACTAGTAGTGCTGATGTCTCTGTAGCTAAGTAGCTAAATTTCCTGTTCCACCTTAAATAGTCCAGCAGTTCTGATGCCTGAAGTGCCAGAATGTAACTTCTGCTCCATTTAAGGTGGAACGGGAAAATTCGAACAAGAAGCTGGAGAATATCTGACTTCAGATTCATATCACTGAAGAATTAGGGGTGGGTGATAATAAATAATTGCCCCCCTCTTTGAAGTCATATGATTCCCTAAATGTAACTAAAGCCCAGCAGCTTTACTGAACTTTACCCTCCAAAAAGCGTTCTGCTATTGTTCCAATGTCAAACGTGTAACAATAGAAACCCTTTTTTGGTGCTGTATAGAACTATTTTCAATCTGAAGAATGATTTCACCACACGGAGAACCATTTAAGCATGCAAATGGTTCTATATAGAACTCATGGTTCTAAACAGAACCATTGCCTAGGTTTGTATCGGTGTAGAGGTTATTCAAGGGTTCTTTAGCAAAGAAAATGGTTCTATATAGAAATCAAAGAATGCTTGACATGATTAAAGGATTCTTTGCAGCGTAAAATGTTTCTTCAAATTGGTTCTTGAAAAACCAAATGTTCTTCAGAAAATGGATCTATATAGAACCACAAACACTCAAAGAACCCTTGGCATGATTGAAGGGTTCTTTGCATGGTGGAATGTTCTTCAGATTAATAGAGAAGCAAAAAGGGTTCTGCTATTTTTAAAATGTCAAGCTCATAATGATAAGAACCCTTTTGGTGCTATACAGAACCATTTTCAGGCTAAAGAACGATTTCACTATACAGACAACTTTTTAAGCATCCAAATGGTTCTATATAGAACTCACAGTTCTAAACAGAACCATTACTTTTACTAAAGAACCCTTGAAGAACCATCCTTTATAAGGATGTAGAGGTGTAGAGGTTATTCAAGGGTTCTTTAGCAAAGAAAATGGTTCTGTTTAGGAATCACAGAACCTTTGCATGAATAAAAGATTCTTTGCAGCATGAAAAGTTTCTTCATATTGGCTCTTCAGAAACCAATGCTTCTTCAGAAAATGGTTCTATATAGAACCACGAACACTCAAAGAACCCTTGGCATGATGAAATGGTTCTTTGCATGGTGGAATGGTTCCTCAGATTAATGGAGCAGCAAAAATGGTTCTACTATTGTTACAATGTCAAGCTTATAACAATAACCCTTTTTGGTGCTATATAGAACCATTTTAAGTCTGCAGAACCATTTCACTT